TTATTACCTCATTTAATTGAGGTATGATTGAATGTTTACCTCCCGTTCTACAAGAGCAAGTATTTGTCGAATACTGGGACCAGGTTTGACCTATCTATAATATTGTAAAGTGGCACGGCGCCCTCGTTTATCGATATCAAGGCGTTTAACTTTATCCAGAGCCCGAACATCAGCAAACCTCCTCCTGCCGATCAGTGTTGAATACCAGACTCTCCCTCTATAGAGCAGCCCTCCCTTTTATCGTGGAGGAAAACGTATGATGGAAATGAATGACAATCGGCTTAAATTACTCCTGACCGAAATTACGCCCAACATACTTCTTAAGATTCATTTCAACGTCCAACCCTTACATAAACGTAGGTAGGAACAACTAGGTCCAAACTCATGCTTCGCAGAGCATGGCAGAGAGTAGATATGAATCGGGACGAAAGCACTAAATAAATGAACAACAAAAGGAACTTCATCGCGGCTGTCACGAGTAGACAGCAGACTGAGAAGAGGTTCGTGGGTGCATGAAGAACTCGACCGGGAAAGCGCATGTCTCGAATCTGGCTTTGGCCTTTTTGTCCCGAGGCCTTTTTGTCTTCGACGCACTTGGCAATGGAAGGGCCGGAGGCATGCCACGAATACCCGTCTTTTCCATGGTTTCCAGCAACCGGCGGAAACGGCCAAGTTGGCATCGCGTCCTTGTGCCCGCTCGGGAGGCTGGGTTCGATCCCAGCCGGCCCCACCCAGGCTTCAAGTTGGGGAAACTACTTTCCTTGTTCTCGCCGGGTGCTAGGCGCTCGACCCGGCATAACAACGAGGGAAAGGAAGTGTGGGAAAGTAATGGGTTGCACTCCCATTACTTTCTTACTGAATTATTTTCTTCATCAATTCTATGTTGCACTGCACTACTTCATAAGAAATAACTTACATTACAAGATTTATCAATTACCCTCAATCCTCCATCAATTACCTTAATGAAGTATCCCCTAAACGAATAATGTGTAAGCCGCTTTCTTGCTCCGTACGTTACTATATAATACATGTAACGGGTACATGACGTCAAAAAACGTGGCCACATACAAGCATGATCACAACCCACCTCACACGCACCCCATTCGGACACAACAACGTTGCCTCGATGTTGAGAAAAGGTTGATTTTTCAACTATAACATATTGCCATAATGTTGAAATGAAACACATGCTCAACGTAGAAAAGTTGCAGCTGTGCAACGTTGCGTCAATGTCGAATCGTCAACGTACGGACATTATAATACCTCCTTCCTTATCCAGGAACTGAAAGAGCGTCAATTAGCCGATGAGATTGAATATAGATTCGATAATCCCCATTGTTCAGTGGCCTTCGTCGAATGACAACGATTCCGCAGCATTAACTCGACGTAAGCTCTGGAATTCCATCTATGGAGATAATGCAAAATTATTCAAGAGGCCTTTAAATCGATTCATCACGTCGATACTGAATTCTCACGATATACGAGTGCGTCGATGATCTTCGAAGATCACGTCGGAGAACTAGAGCCGGCAGCATCTCAGATCTCTCAGACGAGGGAAAGACGGAAGGACCCGAGAGGACATCCTCGTCAGGGCCGACCCTTTTCCTCTAAGCGGTCGTTTTCGCTTTCTCTTTTGCGTCGAGGCAATTTTCGTGTCATGGAGTCGCAAACCGGCAGTCTGCCTTTCCAAAACATCATGCCAAGTAATTTCGCTGCGGATTACGTCTCATCTCTCGGGGAAGGCTAAATGTTGGCTCCCGTATCCTTTTCGGGAATTTCAATTGGTTTTAGGTGCATTTAAGTGTTTTTTTTATAATAAAAAAATACGTACATAAGAAATGCTCCAGCCAAATATGATTCAATTTCAAAAGGTAAAATTTGAACAGGAGCAGGTTTGTCACTTTTATAGGTAGCTGAAGCATTACATTCCAAAAAAGCAGCTCATTCAATGCTATGAAATTAAAGCAAAACTTCCAGCGAAGATAAAACTGACAATGATGTCAATTCGAGGAAGTTTATCCGAGCAATAATGAATTCGACTATGGAAATTGAATTTTTTTTTCTTTCTTCAATTGAAGCCATAATAATAACTGAAGCCATAATCGTCCATGGGACGATTATTGACGTCCAGAGAGGTAACGCCGAAGATCAACAACTGGAGGTCGCACGACAAGGCAGCCCGCCTGAAGCATCAAGGACGTCCTCGTTCTCCTCGGGGAAGATATATTCCACAATACCAGTATGTGACGCTGCTCGTTATTGTATTTCGGGACGAGAAGGGATGAATTTCGCTCGAGGCTGAAGAATGCACGTGGAGACGTGAATTAATGCGATCAGGGATCAGCTCATTCGCCTTTGCGAAAACGTAACTCGTCAAATTAGTCACTTAGCAAATGACGTTCGTTCTACGTTAACACATCCGCCGACGAATTGTCTTTCCTTTTGGAACATTTATATGCCATTAATTACTCACAACTGCTGTCTGAGTGGAATCATGTTGGAAATACATCATATCACACCAATTGACAGACAAGTCGACACGAGACAGTCGAAACGACGATTAGGTAAGCCAAGCGCACGTGATATCAGGCTGTCTATTCGGCGGCCAGCGGATGGGTTAATATGGCGTGGATTCAATGCTGCAATTGTTTACACCCAAATGGAATGTGAACGTTCTCGAAGGCGTTTAGCCTGTGTTCGGAAAGACTTTGGAACGTCGAATGCTCACGGATGAGTCACGGATCAGTCTGGGGAACAATCCGGAAAAGTAGGAAAAAGTGTGGAGAGAGAGAAAAAAAATCGGGATCGAGGAAAGAAGGAAGAACGTGCTGGGTAAAAAAAAATTCAACAGAGGGTTTGACGAGCCAGAAAAGATTGGCCTGAATTGAGCAAGAGGGGGAGGTTTTTAAACGAGGAAAAAGCTTCAAATCCGGGTACGAAATGACGTGGCGACAGCTAATAAGAGGGGAAACCCACCGTTAATTCCCACATTGCACTCGTGTCGTCTCTCGTCGAGTTCTTCCTTCACTTCAGGAGCTTCGACTCTCTTCTCAGCCTCCTTTCGACAGCGAGTCAAGTTTTTCTTCGAGGTTTCCTCTCCTATCAGCTTGGTTATTTTCTTCGCGATACCTTCCCGATTTTAGCTTAAGGGGAACGGGAAGTAGTTACGGGACTCTCAACACGGGTTTAGGAGGCGTCGAAATTGTCTCACCAATTTGCTCGAATTCTACGACTGGGCGACGGAAGAGAGGGATAAAGGGAATCCCGTGGACATCGTCTATTTAGATTTCGCGAAAGCTTTCGATACCGTTCCTCATAAGAGGTTGCGGGTTAAACTGGAGGCGCACGGGATCCAGGGTAGGACGAGCGATTGGATCAGTAGTTGGTTGGCAGGACGAGAGCAACGGGTGATGATAAATGGGGAAGCGTCGAAGGAGGTCGGACGAGCAACTGTTGTCCCTTAAGGCTCGGTCCTCGAACCGCTTCTGTTTTTGGTCTACAAAAACGATTTGGATCTCGGCGTAGAGGGTAAGATGAGTAAAATTGCCGACGACATAAAGATAGGTTTTACCATGAGGGGGGAGGCGGATAGGGCTCGAGCCGAGCGAGATTTAAGTCTTTTGGACGAGTGGAGCAAGAAATGGCTCATGAGGTTTAATAAAAGTAAGTGTAAAGTTCTCCACGTCGGTCGAAACAACTGTAGGTCTCTCGACACGTTCGGCAATGTTAAATTGGATGAGGCAAACGGAGAGAGAGATTCAGGAGTTTCTATCGATAAAGACCTCAAGTTTTCCTCGCACGCGCAAGCGACGGTTGCTAAATGCAACAGGATTCTAGGTTACATTCGTCGGTCGGTTGCAAGTAGGTTATTAGTAGCGTTATTCTTCCATTGTATGCGGCGCTGATAAGACCCCAGTTGGAATATTGCATCCAGTGTTGGAGGCCTAGAAATAAGGGCGATTTGTTGCTGCTCGAGGGGGTACTGAGGAGGGCCACAAGAATCATTAAGGAGGTCAGGGGACAATCATACGAGAAGCGTTTAGAAGTGTTGGCTTCCTTTCAAAATTAACTCTTCTCTTTTACATTACAATGATTCATTTTCTACTGGACAAGCTGCTCTTGCAACTAAAGCCAGTTATATCCAGGCTCTTCACATTTATACTGACGGACCTTTGGATAGAGACGTCGATGGAGGTTATGCGTTTTGGATTCCTACAAAACAAGTTTCCTGTCAAGCTAGTGTTAGAAAGGATCTCCCAATCTTCGTAATCGAATTTCTAGCTATTCTTCAAAGTCTGTGTTGAGTGGAGAAAACTAAAACCCAAGACGAAGTTGTAATTTTCACTGATTCACTTTCTGTTGTTTCCTTACTCGGTTCGAGAGCCATCACATCTCCTCACACATTTCTAGTGGAGCAATTCCTTGAAATTATTCAAGACCTCCTATGTTTCGTTACAATCTAATGGATCCCTGGCCATGAAGGAATCAAAGGAAATGAAGCGGTAGATCACCTTGCAAAAGAGGCGAAATTCTGCTCTGATCCAGTCCACGTTCGTTACATCCACTCAGAATTAGCGGGCAAAGGGCCATATGGAGCTCCTTGCAACGACTATGGGACTCCTCCCCTAAGGGACGACACCTCCATGCCATGAAACACGTCCTAGGTAAATAGGATATTGAAGGTGATTCCCGAAGACCTGTTGTCCCGAAGAGTTGTCCTCAGTCGACTAAGAATTGGCCACGCCAAAATCAATTCTTGTATATATCGGCTGCACCAAGTGACCTCCCCCTTATGTTCTGAATGTCAAACTCAGGAAACAGACAAATTGAGCCTATTCCTGGTCATCTTTCTAGAACTCATAATTCAGGAGCACTATTGGATATGTCCCACATGTTGTTAGACGGTTATTGAGACTTACCTGGTACCTCATTCCCTCGGTCGTTTCGCCACGCAACTGGTCTTTTGCATCGAATAAATGCTAAGCACTACTTTTCCAGATATGCGTCTGTTCAGGGCATGGGTGATCGGCGTTCTGCTGCCTGCCGTGGAGATGGGCAGCGGTGGCGGCAACAACAACAACAGCGGCAGCGGCTGCTCCGACGGCTGGATACCCAACGGCGATTTCTGCTTCTCCTTTTCGAAGAGCACGGCGACCTGGGCGGAAGCCAAGGCCCAGTGCGAAGCCGACGGGGCCAGCCTCGCCAAACCCGCCGACGACGACGAAAACCGTTTCTTCGGGAACAACGTCAATTTCCTCTGGACCTGGATCGCGGCCGTGAGAAACGGAAATAGCTTCGTCAACAGAGATTCCGTCAGGGCAAGTAGTTACGACAATGACGATGGAAACGTAACTCAGGGATATTTCTGTGAGTTTCGGCGTCGCGTTCACTCGTTTCGGTCCGTGCTCTTTCTTACGCATTTGTTAATCGTGGCACTTGAAACCGCGGAACAGATCCGTCCTTCATGTACTCTCGGCAATGGCGCAACGTGGACTGCAACAATCAGTACGGTTTGATCTGTGAACTGTCGCATACCAACTCGTGTATCGATATCGTGGCCATCGGCTCAAAATGCTACATGCCGATACAGACCCTCATGCTCAGCTGGGATGTAGCCAATTTTCACTGTACCCGAGCCGGAGGCATCTTGGCCAAGATGGACAGCGCAGCAAAAACTGCCGCTTTTGCTGTTTTCAGGGGTGAGCGGCGTTCATTATTTTCAAGGTTGCTCGGATGAAAAACTGCATCGTGTTTTCTGACTCTCCCCTTTCGGGAATGCGGTCGCCTGGGTTCAAGAATGTATATAACTCAGAATATCATCACTCGATCGTATCTACTTTTTAAAGGACGTTTATCTCAACGCTTTAAGATGAAGTAGCAGAGACTCCTTTTCTCTTCTCCTAGAATAACACAAGGATATCTGTAGAACGACGAAGAGTCGGTTTCGAAAATTTTCACGCTGGGGCATTTGGATTGTCTGCTCGTAGATACAGGACGTTTCTCAGGCATCGATCCCAGCAAGGAACCCCCGATCCCACTGAACCTCTGGATCGGCGCGAAGCGGGACTCGCCTGGAAGCCCTTTCAAGTGGACGGACGGCAGTGAACTCGCCTTCGCCGATTGGTTTCCGGGCTACCCCGATTCTTCGTCAGGCGACTGCGTGGCAGCTTTCCCGAGCACGTGGTCCACTGTGGGCTCTCTAGCTGAAAACAACGTCACCCGGAGGTTCGGATTCGTGTGCCGGCGTGCGAAGAGCAGATCGGCACTGGCCGACTTCATTGCTTATCTATATCAGACCGTCATCGGATTTTTCCTCTGATCGTTTTTCCATTCACCGGATAATTTTCTGCGGCGCTTCGAAGCGATCACCGTTATGCCTTCGTGCTCGCTCCGGTGCGTTCTCTGTCTTTTTTTCATCCTTGGGGTTTCCTGCAATGAAATTTGCTGCTGCAAAAGTTTCCCGCTTTTCCGTATAATCTCTAACCGCCCAAAATCACCACGTACTCAAACCATCCTACTCACTGCGAGAGCAAGACCAGGTGAGATTGATTCGGCCAGACCCAAACGCACTCAATTTTCGAACCGATGTTCACTCCACTGCATGCTATCGCGCAAATTTTCCTCTTATCGAAAATAATTAGCTTCATGTCTAATGAGAAGAGTTCGAGAAGAAAATGATCCAGTTCGATTTTGAAATCGAAAGATGAAGCTCTTCTCTAACATGTTCCAGTCGAAAATCGATCCGAGTTGGAATGGATCAGTTCGAAAATATTATTTACTGATGCATGATGTGCTTCTGAGTTAATTAAAAACTAAATATTACCTGTTATTCCCATAGGTACAGTACTAAGGGAAAATGGCAGATATTGCGATCGGTCTGTCACTTTTTTCAAAGCCGATTCAATATCCCATCTAGGCAATTTCAGCGATTTTGTCATTCGACAAAAATGTCGGTTTTCTCTATGGGAAACGAAACAATGTAGCATATGAAAGACTGCTCATAAGGTACAAGGGCGTGAAAACACTTTCCTTATCGAAAGCACAAAGTTAACGCGAGGAAAATGAAGCCACCGCATTGTTGGGACGTCACGAGGCAGACGAGAGACATAATTCAATGTTTAATCATGACTCAACAGAATATGGAACATAATAATAACAAATAAGAAAGCCTGTATCAAAACAGAAATCTGCCTTTGCCCTTCTGCCCCGAGGTGCTCAGCTACAGGCAGGAAGAATGTTGGGGGCACCCGTCTTTTTCGTAGAATCCGGTGGAATTGGGGAAGTTGGTAGAGCGTCCATGTGTCCGTAGAGGAAGCTGGATTCGATCTCAGCCGGGCCTACCCATCCTAACGTTGTGGACGCACCGCTCGAAAATGTGGGAGAGTTATGGATCTCCCCCAAATATAGGGAGAAGGCTTTCACTCTTACAAACATGAGAAGAAATAAAATGATGTTCGATGGTTTTTCTGCGGTTATACCGACGTTCCCGCATAGACAGCGTTTTGAACGAGTCCTTGGATAACCCGACGATTTCACCACTTATTCGACCGTTGCAAAGATAGATGGACCTGCCGCGAGGGGGGGGGAGTGGGAAGGGGGTGAGACATGCGCATCGGGCCCTAGGCCATCACCTCTCTAAACTCAGCAGAAAACGAAATAGGAATGTCCCAACAGTAGCATGCCTTCGTAATAAAACTTACTCCAAAACTTCTTGATTTAACCGTTGCGTCATTTCAAGAGGTTGGTAAGCTGAAAGTTTAGTTTCGTTGTGGCTGTTCACTCGCATCACATATAGGATAACTGGCTTAATACGGAAACTGTTCAAATTCTCGTATTACTCCTGTCGATGCTCGTTTGGGACATTTTCATTGTTAAAAATACAGCTTGTGATCACTGCATTTTTGGTTGCTCACATTACCATAAATATTTTGGAGTATTGGATATCGTCATTTCAGTTACGAAAGGCACGGGAGCTATTGAGCTCATGTTACTTGATCCGTCGCATGACCTAATGACGTGGGTGATACTTGGAAGCATGTCGTAACATGTTTCGAGACTCCGTCTCCCTCACATGCAGCTGAAATCTGACGTGGCAGAGAGCCCCCTGCGCGCTCCTTGCCTCCAGTCGAGGTCCATTCATTGCGAGGGTCGGATAACCGAAACGGGCCTAGCTTAAAACTCGGATCGGTTGACGGGAGAGCCTCGATATTTCCAAGAGAGAAACTCATTCCGAAGACAGAGGAAAATGCCATGCACTGGCATTAAGTACGGTGACGTGACACTGCTCATCAGGAGAGATGGAGAATGAAATAGCCTGAGGCATTGCTAGTTTGCGTGAAAACTTGCTTCTGCTCGACTGTGCTTGTGGGGAAGGGGCTAAAGTCACCAGTCTGGCTTCGCTATCCATCTAATGCCTTTGGCTTTTTACATTCAATTACTCAGACTTACATTGCCCGTGCTGGCTCTCCAGCGTATGAGTTTGAGTAGGCGTACTCCCGAGTCTGGATTTAGTTCATATGACTGCAATAACACATTTTTTTCCTAAACAAATGTCATCCCTCTCGTGATTTATCAATTTCTTTTGCACGTGTTTATAATTGTGAGGGTTTTTGGAATACGGGTGATATTTTCGTTTCTGTTCTGCCAGTCACGGGGAAAGAGGGGAATCCCCGATATTTATCTGATGCTTAGGGGGAAATTCCCTCAAGCACCTTCGCGCTTGTCTTTGTTATCCTTGTGAGACGCGGTTGAACTATGCTATTCCCCACATCTCTCGGTAGCCATCAAGACTGCAAGTCAGTCTCTCCCGGTGACAGTAGTTCGGCTTAAAGATGTTTGCAGTGATGTGAATTGGTTCCTTTGACGTTAGACTAGCTTATCTCAGGATTTGTGAACTTTCAACTATTCAACCCGGTAAAGGCTAATGTAAAATGCGTTCAGAATTCTGAGAATAATAATCAGACCGACAAGTCTTGAACTTATATTGCTTATATATAAAATTTTGCCGACTATTGCACGATGGGATTCTCTTGTGCAAGTCATTTTTTTATTCTTAGATCACAACACCCATATGAATGTTGTGATTAACATATCTCAAACATAGCCTCAGTGTTAACCCATCAAGCCGATCATTAAACAAGGCGGTAATACATCCATGAGATGTCACTGAAGTGCAATACTGTACCATACTGGACGTCACTCTCGTCTTTCCGCCGGAGTAGATACGAGTATTCCATAGCGGACATCACAGTGACGTCGAACCCACTTCAAGGGTTAATGTTACACCTATCATATAAGACGAGAATCACAGCAGAGTATTTCCATGATTGATATTGCTTCATCTCCATTTCGATGTTGAAATCACTTTACACTGTATATTTCCATAAATTTTGCTTTAAATAAATTATTCATAATATATTATAGTAATTACAACTCAATGTTGAATAGACATTGAAAACCAGTGAATCAACGGTAATTCACCAGTGAATCAACGGTGAATACTGTTGAACCCCTGTTGAACAGACGTTGAAAACCGGTGAATCAACGGTGAATCACCGTTGATTCACCGGTTTCAATTTCAACATGTTGAAACTTTTTCTGTACGGGTAGAAATATGCCCCTAGAGCATGCATCTGAAACTTGATATTTTTCCTGAACTGGGTGTCTCAGTTGGCACGTCAATGCCAAGTTTCAGCTTTCCATGTCTCTCCGTTGCACTGAAGCAAATATATGGGAAAGCGGCGAAACCCGAACGCCTTCATCATGGTGCGGGTTGAGTCGAACGCGCGAAAAAATTCTCATGATTTCATCTTTCTACTTGCCCTGTGCGGTACGTCTCATGCTCTTTATTTTACCTCTATGTATGACAGATAAAACCATGAAAGATTCTGGGCCACCATGCAATTCCGTGACTGAGGTAATGGAAAAGATCATTCCAGTGCTGAAAATTGTGTACGTAATTAGGTTCAGGTTATGGAGTTGGTACCTTGAATTTCTTTTTGTTTCTCATGGAGTACATCACTCGTATTGCTCAATCGCCTTCTCAAGCAATTATAATAGCTGTAGATATATTTTATAGTATTCGGAGTCGAATTGCTTCCAAGATGCGAAACTTCGCGGCCGTTCGACTCTGACCGCACCTAAGCTCGTGTTACTACGATGCTCGAACGTTGGTGGTCGAGTTATTATTCATAGACTAGAGGATGCCTGATAAATTCGACGGTCAAACACTTTCACCCTTAGCTTGGTGGGAAGAAAGTTTTTCTTTGAAACTCTATGAAACAGTAATAATACGTTGCTTTCAAGAATATTAATATTGTACTTTGTGATGCATAGACACGGGATATTTTATGTCTGGATGAAAATCGTCCTCAATGGGGCCAAGGAATCAAGAACAATGCCACCTTCTGACAAAAAAAGCCACAAAAAGCAGTCGCCAGTCCCAGTACACGCATGAAGTCGTGCGTCAATCTGCAGAAGCAATCCGGGGAGGTATGGGGCATAGAACGGTAATACGAGAGTTGATGTGCCAAAATCAAGCGGTCGTGTAAATGGATAAGTCACACTCTTCAAGAGTGTCCAGAAAACCCCTTCTCCAAAGAAGGAAGAATACTTGCTCAAAGATTACATTCTATCCATGGCTGTCAGAGGGAGAGATTTTTCTGTCCTCTGGTTGGAGTACCTCGAATTTAGGTTGAGAAAAGAGAGAATGTAGTCTAGAAATTAATTGCTAGAATTTAACGATTTCAGTCCTGGCGGAAGTCAGAAGTTCCCTACTTAAAAAAAAATTTCTTGAAGGATTATATAGGAATGCTCGACTTTAAAGCCTAGCGGGACTTATAAGTCATTTCTTTTTTGTACTTTTTTGTTTTGAACTTGAGCAGTCTTTGATCATGGATTTTCCTGTTATTATTGGACTTATATGTGTTAAAATTACATAGATATCTAGTTATCATCAAAGTCACATTATCCTTTTGTCAACCAAATATTGCCAATCAAGGTGTAAACCCTGTGAGGATAAAACTTCTCAAATTTCAATCCCCCTGCGATGTGCGAGCCAAGAAACTGAAAAAGTATTCTCACCTTAGAGAGGCGCAATATTTAGGCACGATTTCACATGCAACACCCTCTACAAGAGTGTTGCAGTGGGATCGAGTTCAGGCAGACATGTGACAACTGTATTTTAAAAAAGGGTGATATGCATTGCTTATAGCAGCTGCAACTACATAATTGGTGCGGGAAGACTTTCCTGAAATAGGCATGATTTCAAACGCTCATGAAGTGTCAGATAATCTAATATACAGTATGTATACACGATCGTGACTGACTGACGCTAATTCTAACCATGTTCCAGATAGGTTAGAAATCTGAAACTTGGTACACATGTACCTTTTGGGGTGCAGAGTTCAGAAAAAAAATCCGACT